TTGGGTGGGCCTGCCATAGTCTAGAGGGCAAGTTCATCCAGGCTCCCTTATGTTTGTTCAGGCCCTGTACATGTGACTCATGGTGTCATTAGAACAGCTGTGTGACACAGGGAATCTTTCTATCTTACAGATGGTAAGTGAGAGCTCAGTGACGTAAAGCCAATATGTGATAGCACAGGACTCCAAACTTGAATCTATCTGATGCCTAACCCACTTCTTCCCAACTTCACATTGCCTTCAGCTATAAGTATGCAAGTGTTTTAACAAAATTCTTTTTCATATTTTGCCATGGTAGCCACAAAGGCTGCATATATCCCAACCTCTTTCAGCTTAGCTCACCATAAAACTCTGGATCAGAGATCTACTTTATCAGCTTTTTCTGATTTTCCCTAGGGAAGAGAGAGTGACAAACACTCGGAGAAGGCAGATATCATTAGTATTAAAGAGAAGTGGAGGTTTAGGGGGAAATAAAGCTGAATAAAAAACAACGGGGCTTTGCATCCCTGAGACATGAGCCAGGAGGAGATAAGGGATTTAGATGCATATCCCTCTAGGTTTTTGCTGTGTTCTAACATGGAACTGTCTGGGTAGAGTTACAACTGCAATTTTGTGTGTGGAAAATGGGCATTAGAGAAGGCTCTTGTGGTACTGAGGGTTAAATCCAGGGCCTCATTCATGCTAGGTAAGCAGTCTACCACTGAGCTGTATCCCCAGCCCCTCGCCCTTTATTTTCCTTTTAGAGTTAGGTATATAATGAATCAAAGGGGACCCTGGGGGCTGAGGATGAAGCTCTGTGGTAGAGTACTTGCCTAGCATGTATAAGGCCTTTGGTTCAATTCTCAACACAGCAGGACAAATAAAAAAAAAGTTTTCTGAATGCTTTTCAACATTTTTTCTTATCTACTGCACTGGTTAGATTAACTTCCAGTATTCTGTAGGTAGAAGCAACAATAGCTATCATCCTATTTTATCATTGAGTTAGAACTTGGAGGGTAGGTGGCTCTGGTAGAATTCTTGCCCAGTATGCATGAGGCCCTGGGTTCCCTTCCTGGCACCATACCACCCCCCAACCCCCCTACCCCCATAAAACTAAACAAAACCCAAACACCTCTAGTGTTTCCCATCAATCTTGGAACAGGTGCTTTAGCTGCAGCACATATGGACTCCTTGAGTAATGCTCAAGTCCCTTTTCTTCCCTGGCGTCTTTTATTTATGGGCACAGTGAGGGGCACAGGGGATTGAGCCCAGGGGCACTTAACCGCTGATCCACATCCCCAGTCCTTTTTTTGTATTTTATTTAGAGACAGAGTCTCACTTAGTTGCTTAGGGCCTCATTAAATTGCTAAGACTGGCTTTGAGTTCACAACCCTCCTGCCTTAGCCTCCTGACCAGCTAGGATTACAGGCATGTGCCACTGTGCCGTGCCCAGCTTCCCTGGATCCTTCATAGTCTCTGGACATTATAGCATCAGTTTATGTTTATGTTTTGCCAGAAGACAAAGGACCAGTGCTGAAAAGGATACAAAGTTAAGGAACATTTTTTTTTTCTTTTTTGTTAATGGGAATTAAACCCAGGGGTGCTTTACTACTAAGCAACATCCCCAACCTTTTTTAAAATTTTGAGACAGGGTCTCATTCAGTTTCTGAGGGTCTCACTAAAGTGTTGAGGCTGGCCTTGAACTTGGCAGTCCTTCTGCCTCAGACTCCTGAGTCACTGGGATTATTGGTGTGTGCCACCATGCCCAGCTAAGGAGCAGGATTTTTAACATTTCAACTAAGTTGGTCTTAGCTCTGATATTTACTTGTTTTATGACAGTGGATGAGTGACTTGGCCTTTTGAAGACAGTTTCATCCACTGAGGAATGGGAAAAATAATGCCTATTTCATAGACTAGTTTTAGGGTCATGTAGCTTATGTAAAGTGCCAAATATCATAGGTAATATCATATTACCAGGTGTATCATAGGCACTCAATCTCATATCATTGGGAGGCTCATGATGCCTTAGAGATACTGGTGAGAGCTTCTGTCTAGGAAGGGCAGCTTTGTGGTGGTGTGACTGGTGCAGTCATCCCGGACACCTTGCTCAGAAGGGCCCAGCACTTAGTTTAAAGCTGTGTTATGGCCATCTTGTAATTTTGAATTTCTGACCAAGGGTCCTCATTTTATACTGTGCTTGCAAACAATGTGGCCAGTCTTGTTTTCAGAATGGCTTCAGTTTGGGTCCTTCTTTTTGGGAGCTATACTACCACTGATTTCCTAGGGAATAACTCCCTTGGAATTAATACATAATTTACCCATAAATAAATTAGGGCTAGCATCCTGTGTATGTTTAAGTGTTCCATTCTGGCATAACCTCTGCAGCCTGTCTCAGAAAGGGATACTCTGTGTTTTACAGAATATATGAGGTCCTGAGAAATTCCACTGGGGTGCCTAGTGAAGTAGAACGATGATACAGGATTTAGGAATCAGGGAAAGATCTAGGTTCAAAACCCTGCTAAGCCCTTCCTGGCTGAGTTCCTTGGACAAGATAATGTCTCTGTCCTACTGGTAAAATCTATGTTGCAGGCGAATTACATTTTCCTTATTGGTAAAATATATATCTCAGGGGAATTAAACAGGTAATTTATGTAAAGTGAACTTTCAGCAGAAAATCTGGCACATAGTAGGTGTTCAATCACTATTAATTCTTCCAGTTCTTGCCAGAACTAACAAAAATCAGGGCACTAGGATTTACAAGCCTTTTTGCTACTAATAAAATAAATAATAAGATTTATTTTTTTACTACTGTTTGGGGAAAGGCATGTGCTTCATAAATATATATTGGAAAGTACTTAGCAAATGAGTAGAAATAATAAAAATATGTCAAAGTAAACAGCTCCTATAAATATGTCACTTGGTAGACAAATTAGTGTTTTATTACTACTAAATACTATTGCTCACCGAAAAGGATTTCAGATTACTTGCACAATGGGTACATTATGGAGTGCCTCTGTGGAAAGGCACGATAAAGATGAAAAATAGTGATGGTGATAATGCCTAAGGTGGAGAAAAGAGGAGTATGGGTAAATGCAGCTCCGAGGCCTCATCGCTTCAATGATATGCACATTATTTAGCAGCATTCCAATGATTTAGCCATAATATGGACCAGAGGGCCCAGAGAAAGATTTCCATGGGATGTCATGAATCCAGACTCCAAATTACTGGGTCCAATTAGTGGATTAAATGCACTCCCTTTCAGAACTCAGCACTCAGTTTATAAACCAAGTTTACAAAAAGGATATCCCTGACTCTCATTTTACCCTTATTTTGGACCTATTATATTTTCTCTGGGTATGATTCATATGCAGAGAAGAGATGTCGTGGAGAACACTACACCTCTGTCACTGCTCAGGAATCCATTTCAGAAACAAGAGAGGATGGACAATGTCGGCATCTCAAGGGAAAAGGAACCAGAGAGGGAAAAGAGGGACTTTATTCTTTTTGTGGGCAAGAATAAACCTCTGGAAAGAAACAGAGAAGACAGGGAATTGCATCAAAGAAAGTTACAAAAATAGCCAGGAAGGAAAAAATATGGGCACATTTAATTCAGATATAGAAAACTTCTAGATCTTTCTGTGCATTCCAGGTGAAGGAAAAGAAGTGGTTTCACATTCCAGCTTATCTGTATGGTTTTGGGTAAATTACTTAATATGATAACATGAAATAATAGCACTCAAGTTTACGTTTTTTTTTTTTTTTTGTACTGGGATTTGAAAGCAGGGGTGCTTTACCACTGAGCAACATCTCCAGCCCCTTTTATTTTTTATTTTGAGAAAAGGTCTCACTAGTTGCCCAAGTTGGTTTCGAATTTGCAATTCTGCCTCAGTCCATGGAGTAGCTGGGATTGCATATAAGAGCCACCACGCTGGGTTTCCTGGGCTGTTTTGAGGATTGGAAATAAAGATATTTATAAAATGACAAAGCCTGATGCATATATATTTTTATATCAATTTTTCTTATGATGTTCCTTATTTAAAATACAAGGAGCTGGGGATATAGTTTAAAAGTGGCAAGGCTCTGGGTTTGATCCCCAACACAACAAAAATAAATAAAAAAATGAATAAATACAAGGAAATTGTGTCATTAGACACCAGTCAAAAGAAGGATTAGCATTTATTTATTTTCATACCTAGGCATCTTTTTAGCTCAGGTTGGCTAAGGACCCCCTATGCTATCCTCGTGCATTATAGTTTACTAAATGCTAGGGCATCAGGTCATTTAATTCTCAGGGCAACCTGCATTCCTGGGATGGGGAAGAGTTCAGAAAGGTTAAGTGCCTTGTTGAAAGGTACTCAGCGGATGAATGGCCCAGGTGGTTCCTTGGCGAGGTCATCTGCAGTCTACCACAGCCTTTCTCAGCAGTTTCCCAACCTTCCTAAGGCGAAAGCACTAATCCCAGGGGTTTAGACTGGGAGATGCTACAGGAGGGAGGTGCCAGAGCGCGAGCGGACAAGGACCGGTCCTGATGTTCCAGAGCTCGGGCTTCCCGCATCTCCCAACTGTGGGACCTCGACCAGGCCGGGTTTCTTCCGCGGGGGACTGGGGACTCATCGCCCGCCCAAAGCACTGGGTGCAGAACGGCAAGCTACCAAAGTGAGGCAACTTCCAAACTCTATGAAACGAATTCAAAGAAGTTAAGGGAGTCGCTCAAGGTCATCACACCGGGGCTAGGCCCAGCCGAGACTCAGACCCTGACCCTTCGCTCGGGCATCAGAGTTGTGTGGCTCAGGTAACAAGGCGCCCCAGACGCCCGGCTTTCTGCGCACCCAAGCTTCACCGGCTCCTGCCGGCCCCGCCTCCGAGCCTCGGCTCCGCCAGGGGGCGCGCGCGGGGGGCGCGCTCTAGCCGCCGCGCTCCTCGCTCCTCTCTATGGTGGAGCGGCAGGGCGGAGGCGCGCTCCCGGGCGGGGGCGGGGCGATCCGGGGGCGGAGCCGCGCGAGGGGCGGGAGCGGCCGCGCCGAACCGCCAGGGGATGGGTTGGGGGGGCGACTTCCTGGGGCCGCCCGTGAGGATGTCGCGACCGCCCCCCTGTGCCCCTCAGCCCCGGAGACGCCGCCGCGGCGAAGCCCGCACCCCCCCGTCTGAGGTGTCTGGGCCCGGATCCGGCCTCTCCCCTCCCCTCCTTAACCCAGGTGCGGGCCGGGCAGGCGGCCGCGGCAGGTGAGGAGGCGGCGGCGGCGGCTGCGCTGGGGTCCGCGGGACGCCGGGCCTGGGGTGGGGTCTGGTGGGAGGACGGGGGCCGCTCCTCGGCCTCCGGTACCCCAGAGTGTGGGCTGGGGTCGCCTCCTCCGTGTGGGGCGCGGCCTGGGGCTCTCCCTGCCCTTCAGGGGTGGGGAAGCACCACCTCCTGGACATTTTGGTTGAGTAGGTAAGTGATGAACAGGAATCTCTATTTAAAAAACTTCCCTTGCATTATTTCCAGAAAGCTCCTCATGCTTTTGATATGCAGCCTAGTTTGGGAACTGTTTCATTTTCTTTTTAACTGTATTTCCTGTGCAACAAGCCTTATGGAACTTTGAAAATTGGGGTTCACTTCTGTTTTTTAAAATTATTGAAATTGTATGCTCTGAAACTCTTTTTAAATTGGTAGTTCCTCTAATAGCATCATGCTGTCCATGATGTTTGATTTGCTAGAATAACCTATTTCCTAGTCATGACAGATAACAAAGAGCTTTTATAACTTTTATGTTAATTGCTTTACAGCAAAGCACCTCTGCTGTATTATCTGTCAGGAGTCATGAGGGAGAGTTTCTGGTGAAAGTAGCTTTCTTTATCTCATGAGTGGACAAATGAGTGATAATGTGGAAACAACTGGAGGTCTCAATAGGAAGCCGAATCTAGTTTTGATCAATGATGGGAGATGCCTGGGAATTCTCTATGTAAGAATTTAAAATAAGCCAACCAAATAAAGAAAAATATGCATACTAAAGTTAAGATAGCAGATGTTTTTCGTACATTGTAGGCCACTCAGTTTCTCTTCCACTTTTTCTGTAGGATTTTTATTTTGTAGGTTTAAGATATCTTTCTAAATCTAGCCTTTATATCTCTTTCCAGGAATATCTACTCAGCTCTTGTAGAAAGTGTACTAAGAGTGTGAGCACTAAGGAACTAGAGAATATGGGTAAGAAAAATGAGTCATAGGACAATTAGCAATGCTTAATTTTTTTTTTTTTTTTTCAGAATGAGTGGAGTGTTGGCACGTGCCCAGAGTTACTATCTGCAAGAATAAATTAATAACGTTATCCAAATTCTGCTGTATGTATTTGGATGGTAGCCCAGGAGCTCTGATTAGGCTATGAGGCTTTGAGGGTGGCCCTATTAAGTAGTACCTAACATCCATTTCTTGCCTTATCTTCCTTTCTCCCTTTTTGGTCTTCTTTTTTATTCTTTCCTTCTGTCTCTCTCTCTTTCAAGGTGTCCTTCCTGACTTGCCAATCACGCAGTAATAATATAGGCTGGGTCCCTGGAACTTGAGGCTAAAAGAGGTTGCTGGTTGCTAACACCTGTCTTTCAGCTAAATGAATAGGCTCTTTTGTGTGCAGGATGTTAAAGAAGCTGATTAGTACAATACTGGCTTTAAGGGCCTAATAATGATACAGCATATGTAAATCATGGAGTGATTTAAAGCCATTTTAAAAATTAGTTTCTTTATACTGTTTATTTATTTTTTATATTGGATTGTCAGTCGAATTTTTGCACCTAAACTATGAATCTGTTTATTGCCTAAACAGACTAATTTCTGTCATATTGATTGGGAATCATTTATATTCTAAAGAAGTTTCTACCCTTAAGGGCCTTTGTATTGTTCGGTAAATGTCTAGTGTGTAATACAATTAAAGTTTTGTTCACTGTGCTGCTGACATAATTAGTTTAATTTCTTCTCCTTTATATATTCCTGTTGGCAGCTGGAAAATTAAAATACTAGATGTTGCATAAAAGTGCTTTTTTTGAGGGGTGATTTTACTGTCAGTTGAATGGACTTAGGCCCCAGGGTACATTTTTTAAGATGTCTTATTCAACTTTCCTGTAATAGTCTCTTTCTTTCTATAGAATTAATATATTAAGCCACATAATTGGCTGTTTAAGCATTCAGAAGAGACAATGTTTGGCCTTTTACCCCGTGATTATATTTTTTCCTCCATCTCTTTTGAGGAAATGTGTGTAATTTTTGGCAACTCCTAGGTACATTACAGTTCCATGAGCAAGTGAACTTTTGCAAAGACTGGAGAATGGGGTGGTTTTCTCTGATAAGCTGTATTATTTAATTCCCTCCCCAAATGGTCTTTTTTTGGTAGATCATAGCATTTACAAACCTTATGTGAAAGTAGAAAGGCTGTGATGCTTGGTAAATCCTTTCATAATTTTTCTGTATGTTTCATAAAAATGACTTTAGTCTTCAGCAGCGGAATTTGTTCTCAAGGAGACTTTACATTTAATTATTCTAATCTCCACTTAATTTCCTACAGGATTCTTGGAGGGCTTCTCAGCAGGCTGCTACTTTCATGGTTATGACCTATACAGTTTTTTTTTTTAATATTTCTGTTAAGGTTACTAACCTTTTTTTTTTTTTTTTTTTTTAAATGAAAGTGACCTTGGTCTGGTAATTTCTCCTTGGTGCTCTCCATGAAGAAGTACAGGCAAAACCTCCCAGCTCTCTCCGCAACTTTTTTCAACTGCTACTCTACATGTGCTTGAGCACATTTGCATTTTTTATTTTGTTGAGCTGGTGTTACTTTACTTTTTAAAGCTGCTTCTCTCTGCAGCTACAGACAGGTTGGTTAAGCCTTAGTCTCCTAGTTTTAACATTCACATAGCTTTTCTAAAATTACAACTAAAGATAGGGAATAATCAGGGATCTCCAGCACAGCCATTTGTTACTAGTTTTAAGAGTAGGGAAAGCCCACCCCCACTTGAACTACTAGGAGCCAGTATAATTTGCTGAAACATTTTAACAGTATCCATCCTCTTTAAAGAAATGCTGCCTAGTCATTCTGAAATTTACCGGAAGTTAGGCCAACTGGAGGCTCTGCTGGCACAGGCTTCTGAGTGGTTAAATGCAATTCATTAGTAATCAGCACCATTGTTTATTTGCAACTGCTTGATTATGTTAAAAGATTCCAAAGGAAAAAAGTATTTAGTAAATGGAATGTCCTCCGATTCCACCCCACCTCCTTCTTTTACTCTTCATTGCTTTACAAAATCTCTTGAGTCTTGGTACTTACAACACAGGCTTGGTGGCACATGAATTAATATATTTTATCCTAAAACGTATAGGAAAGCATGTGTCTGCCACTGTATTTTTCTGCAAATCTTCTCATGCTTTTTCACTTTCATAATAATTAATATTTCTGTTTTAGAAATAACCAAGCTTGTGTTCTCTCTCTCTCTCTCTCTCTCTCTCTCTCTCTCTCTCTCTCTCTCTTTTAAAATTTTAGTTGTAGATGAACATAGTACCTTTATTTTAATGTGGTGCCAAGGATGGAACCCAGTGTCTCACACATGCTAGACAAGTGCTCTACCATTGAGCTACAATCCCAGCTCCTTTGACCTCTTTTGGCTTCCCATCTTCTAGGTCTTGGGTCAGTGGGTACATAGCCAATTGCCATTAGATTGGATTATTACTATCTTTAACCATTCTAATTATTATTTTACACAGTGTGGAAGATTAACTAATGCATAATCTTTATTTGAAAATTCTGAACAAAGGGGTGCTCTAATTTGGGGAAAGAGGACAGTGTTTACTAGGGGGATAGCAAGGGCGATCTACTGAAGTTTAGCTAGTTTGAGGATTATTTAGTCAAAGGTAGAATTGTTTTTGAAGATAAGCAGTCATTGTTTGGGCAAATGGAAAGGATTAAAATTATATGCAAAGGGGGATAAAAAGGAATAATTTGAGGGATAAGTAATTTCCCAGTCCACAATGGAAGATTCTTAAGTCTTTCAGGTGTTACCATTTTGACCCCAAACTGGGTCCTTTTTCCCTCTGAATTGTGAAACCTGTAACATGACAGCACAGATTGAGCCTGGAAGGTAGGTTATTTCTAGCCAAGCAGGAAGAGGCGCTCCACAGATTAGTTTCTCAATCTATTGGGGGTTGGGAGGTTATAGATAAATGATAGAAAATAATAATAAGGGGGGTGTAAGGGTAAAAGAAATTGAAGTTAAAGGGTAAAAGACCGGTTGTTGTAAAGTTTCTAAGCTGCAAGGTCTGAGTTAAAATGTAAAGGATTAGGTATTGTTAGGTTTCTATGCTACCTGCAAAACCTGAAATTTCTGTAGCTGTTGAGACAATGCTTGGAACTGCCCAGTAAATATTTCCCCTGACTATTGGTTGTTTAATAAGGGCTCTGTGTGGTCACACGTAGGCATTGCAGAGCCTGGACCAATCAGTTTAAATGTAACCCCCTCCTTAGGAATGACCTATCACTCCAGCCTGACCTGTTCCCGCCAATGAATGAACCAATCATGTTTAGGAGTTGTTGTTCAATTTTCCCGCGCCTAATGATGATTTGTTCTGATGTATACAAAGCCCTCCGCCCTCCCCAAAAAGTGTACTTAAGCAGTGCTCAGCCCCTGCTCGGGGCTCTGGGCTGCTTTCCCTTCTTGAGTGGGCACGGAGCCCCAGCATGCTGGTTCAATAAATCCCCCCCTTCTGCCAATTGCATGAGTGGTCACTTGGTGGTCTCTTTTTCCGACGTTTCGCTAGATCCTTACAGGGGGAATATTCAGGTGTTTTCTGAGAATAGGTGGAGATTATTCTGGAATTCAGGTGTCACTTCTCTTCCCTCCTTTTATGGTTCTTTCCAATCTTTGTCCACTTCACTGAATGAAGTTAGAGGTTGTTTGTTGTCACTCTGGAGCCATTTTAGAGCTAATTGGTTTTTTCTAGCCCACCTGAAGAGGGACTTCTGACCTTCGAGCACCTTGTTCTCAGAGATAATCAAGAGAGGCTGGAGATGTAGCTCAGTGGTATAGTGCTTGCTGGCGTGAGCAAGGTTCTGGGTGCCATCCCACCTGCACTGAAAAAGTAATATTAGAGTGGAACAGAAACTAAGCTATTTCTGTGTTTGGGTTAAGACTAGATTCAGGTACCATTCTTGGTCATTTCATCATATACTATGGAAGAGTTTACATAATCATTCTAGACAGAGCTGAAGTGT